TCTCTCTCTCTCTTTTTCTCTCTCTCTCTCTCTCTCTCTCTCTCTCTCTCTCTCTCTCTCTCTCTCTCACGCGTATGCGATCTGTGTCATTTTCTGTGCCACAGCCAGGATGTTCCAGATATAGTAACGCGAAAACAAGCGGGGCTGACGTCCTAATGTACATCGTTTTTTATACAAGGAGCCTGCGCTTTTTGTTGACCGCGTAGCGACTTAGAGCTTAGAACTCGTAAAAAAACAGTCAGCGACCTTGTCTTTTTTATAATACGTGAGTTATCCTTGCGGTTTCGGGTGCCGTGCGGTGTCTTCTAGCCAGCAACGCATTTTGCTCGTATGTGAAACTCCTTCAATGTAATGCTGTGAAGACGCAGACAGGCTCGTATTTTTTTTTATGTCATTTCCCCGTTTCGTGTCGCATGTCATTTCCCCGTTTCGTGTCGCATGTCATCATTTCCCCGTTTCGTGTCGCATGCCATCATTGGCCCGTTCCGCATCTCACGTTGCTCGCGTTCCGTGTCACGTGGAGCAGCTAGCATGATAGGTGTGTACTGTAAGTGTAAGTGTAAGTGTGATGATCCATCACGTTTCCACGTCGATGCTTGCTCGTCAGCGTCACGGCGTCACAGTGATGTGGCAGTGCGTATTAGTGACTGTTGTCCTGCCATGACCGCCATGTTTCAAGGGGAAGGTCATATAGCGGTAACATCTATTTATTAGCATTAGCTATTTTAGGGGTTGGGGTGGTGGTGTGAGGGGTAGTATGAAGCGGAGATGCCGGGATAAAGAATGGGATCAAGAGCGTAAGTTAAGCACACTTAATACGCTCTTGAGGGGATGGTAGGTGGATGAGGTTATGTGCGGAAGTACGGGATGGTGTGCTTGGCGTAGTAGTGCGGTTGGTTCGGTGTAGGAGAAAATGAGGGTTAGTTTGGGTACACAGCTGTAGCTGCTGGCGTACACAGTCTAGCTCGATCACCGCAATAAATGTGCATGGGGCCGCGTGCGTGCGTGCGTGCGTGCGTGCGTGCGTGCGTGCGTGCGTGCGTGCGTGCGTGCGTGCGTGCGTGCAACCAGCAGTAACTCACAGTGCTATAGATGTGACATCTGATTACGATGCGGGTGAAAAATCTAGGATTACAATACGCGCAATTATCATGTAACGCTTTATTGATTTACAATAATTTCATTTGTACATCACACACTGCATATCTATCTATCTATCTATTATATATATATATATATATATCTGGTCACGAGCTAATAAATACCTAATAGGTATTGATTAGCTCTTGATCTGGTCAAAAGCAGGCTGTAAGCGAGGAGATGACGAATTTCGCTGCATATTATAGTCTTTATCCAGAGCTAATAATAATATACTGTGTGCGGTGTTATTATCTCATATCTTTGTGTTCATCGGGATGAAATAAAGAGGATTTATCGGGTCGCAACAATGACTGCTACACTCTGATAATCTGTAATTTCCCGAGAAAACGGCATTGTGTTGCTGTGATGCTGACCTTTTCACTCTAGTTAATCATCATCAGCGAGCGCGTGTGTGCGCACATGCATTGTTTGTTTGTTCGTCATTGTCATCAACAACCAGAAATCCGATTTGTTTGTTTTTTGTCTCGCCTCGTGCCCGGAGAACACAATAACTGCAGCTGTTCGTGTTCAGACACCGCCCCACTTCTCTCCTCAGCTATTTTTCCATCTCTCTTTCTCGCTCTCTTTCTCACGCTCTGTCTTTCACGAGCGCGCATACACACGCACGTATACACCCACACCCACGCGCACACGCACGCACACGCGCACGCGCGCACACACACACACACACACACCCACGCGCACACGCACGCACACGCGCACGCGGGGGCACGCCCCCCCCTCGAACCGGCCACACACATACACACACACACACACACACACACCGCACACACACACACCACACACACACCACACACACGCACACCACAGCATGCGTACACACGCTGCGAACGTGCTTACCCGTAGTTGCTCTTGCTCTTAGGTATATGTCATCACGCTCTTGATGTCATGCAAAATCTCAATGGCATCTACGAAGAATCTGGTCGATGTAGATTCATGCGAATGATGCTTCACTAATGGTATCCAGATCTCTTGTATCAATTCGGTAACATCCCAGTTGGCCTACCTTCTATTTCACCTACCTCCCATTTCGCCTACTCCCATTTCGTCTACTTCTATTTCGCCTACCTCCCATTTCGCCTACCTCCCATTTCGTCTACTCTCAGAATGGGCAATATTCCCATTTCGTCTACTCTCAGAATGGGTAATAGTGCCATTTCGTCGTACTATTGATATCACAACAAATACTTGGATAAATTAGTTTGGATGCCACTCCGTCTAGTCGATGTATGCTAATCAAAACTATATATTACATTTATAAATTATTATTTAGTGGACAAGCTGATGGTAGACAAAATGGGAATGGGGTGGATTTTTAGTGTAGACGAATTGGGAGTAGGCGAAATGGGTGTAGACCAACTGGGAGTTTTGCTATAGACGAAATGGGAATTCCGCAGTAGACGAAATGGGAGTAGGCCAACCGGGCATAGACCATCAATTCGTCATCTTTCGCTAATTCTCTTCTAACAGCTACCCCTGAGCACCATGTGTCTCCTATACGTAGTCTATACGTATCTATAGCGTAGTAAAGATGCTGGTAGGTAATAAATGTTGCTATAGATGATATGGGGGTAATAGAGAAATTAGGATAGGGGTAATAAATAGCGATGACAGCAGTAAATAATCATTATCAACGATGAGACTGAGAGGAATTTTATTGGTCAGGATAAACTAGCCAGGTACAGACCCTGCGATTGGGCCAGAGCAGGGTGTGTCCAACGGAGCTTTCTAATTACAGTCTCGCCGATAGCTGTGTCAGAAGTGCTCTCATCATGCTTTGAACATTTTCGTTGTCTCTCGACCCGTTATCGTTGTAGCGATGTACCTTAGAATGTATGTAGTGGTTTGGTTTTTTTTAACTCCACTTTTAAGAAACAAACAGAATACCTAATACAAATATCAATGCTGAAGTCTAATATTAATCGCCTAGTAATGTAAAAAGTCTTTCGAGTTCTGTAAGCGTCCGTATACTTATGCGCTGCTCCTCAAAACAGTGTTCATGTAGAGGATACTTGTCTTGATCGTCGTATTCTTGTCTCTCGTTCACATAATCGCCTGTTACAGCATCACACCGATTCTCTCTTGCAGAACAACTCTACCCAGAGATGCTCATTCCCGAGCCAGATTACTACAGTGATAGTGACGATGATGATTCACTGCCTCCGTACCGAGCCGGCGACCCGGCGACGGACTGCCACCTCATCGCGCCAAAGAAGCTTAGTAACCCGTGCTCGGAATCGTCGGAGAGGCAGAGGTTACACAAGGAAATGATGCTCAACCAAAAACTGTAAGTGATAATAGAGATCCCTTAATTGGTTGATTTCTACTCAACGGTCAGGTTCAAACCTACCCGCTTATAACGTTTTGCGGCCTAACAGGAGGCGTTTTCAAAGCTGCTTATTTAAGGATGTAAGTGGTAAATTCTTTGCGTAGATGAAGCTCCTTAGCTGACTGTCAAGGAGACTTGTAACGGTGATTCACGAAAGACGTGGCCGAGCCTGCCTTGCAATTCACAATATTATATTGGTAATTACCTCCACGCAACTGAGTTGCAGGGGAGGTAATGTAATCGGTCGTGTGTGTGTGTGTGTGTGTGTGTGCGTGCGTGCGTGCGTGCGTGCGTGCGTGCGCGTGTGTGTCCAGCCCGCGCGGCGCGATCGATAGCGCGTCGAGTCAGCGAGCGGCGAGTCAGCAGCAGGCGAGTGAGTCAGCAGCAACCACCAGCGAGCGGCGAGTCAGCAGCCGCCACCAGCGAGCGGCGAGTCAGCAGCCGCCACCAATGAGCGGCGAGTCAGCAGCAGGCGAGTCAGTCAGCAGCAGCGAGCGGCGAGCCAGCTCGTAACACATACTTGTTACATGCTCGCGGAGGTATGCACTCTCCGTGAGTGCCCTCTGTCTAGTTGTAGCTGTGATGAGATTTCTTCTCATTATACAATCTTAACAGCATTTAGTCTTCCCCCGCAAACCTGTTTGCTGTGATATTTTCTCGCGTCAACTGAAAATTTCTCTCAGAAACATTGGTCACAAATAGTAAACTTCGATTTGCTACCACACATAGCAAGGTGAAGTGAGTAGGAGGTAAGAGCAGCACAGGCGGCAGGGAAGAAGAGGGTGAGCGAGCGAGAGAGAGAGAGAGAGAGAGAGAGAGAGAGAGAGAGAGGAGAGAGAGAGAGAGAGAGAGCGAAAGAGAGAGAGAGAGAGAGAGAGAGAGACAGAGACAGAGACAGAGACAGAGACAGAGACA